GTTTTTTTTAATTGTTCTAATTTGGGTTTATATCAGTAGCTTTAATTAAAATGATACAATATAGTGATAGTGTCATAAACATCCTTGTTCAAGTACTTTCTGTTATGAATAACAAGTTTCCCAGTTGTGCTTCTTCATTGTGACCCTGTTGCATGTGCAACTGAGGGAGACTACAAATGGTTGCGCTAACACACAATGACTCTGGCTGGGCAGCTTTCTAATATGATGGGGCATTAAAGCAGTACTTAAGTCCACTATATATATTTTTTTTAAGGGCCCCAAGGTGGGTTATGCCATAATGTTCTAGTATGCACCGCATATTAGCACAATATGGCAGACTTACCTGCCAAAGAAACCCTCCATTGCTGCGGCGTAAGCAATCCTGTGGGCCCAGAGCATCCATCTTTGCTCGTTCTTCCTTCTCAGTACCGTGTCAAGGGACGCTTAAATGGCCGGGCTGCAATAACTTAACTCCCATGAATGTGACGAGAGTCACATCGCCACAGTACAGATCGGGGCCATGAATGTACCCTGAACTGCGCATGCATAGCACAGAGTACATGTCGTCTGACAGATATGAGGAAGCTTTTTGGACAGAAAGAGACTGAGGTTTTTTTTTTTTTGTCATAAATACCCTGCCTGTCAGTGAATTTGTAATAAAGTAACTTTACTACCATTTCAAAGTCAGCTCGGGTAAACGATGGAAGGTGTAAAGATATTGAGGGCGTCTCACCAAAAGTATGGGAGTCCAAAGTTGTCCAACCAATACTTTTCTAAAGTGCACCTGAAGCAGTTAGTTACCACTTAAAACTACTTCAGGTGCCCTTTAGATCCTTTTTTTTTCTACCACTTTCACCCTGTATAATAATTCCTATTTGTAATTTTTTTTTTAACATGGAAACCTATGATGTTTTCAAACCAAAAAAGGAACATGCCGAGTACCTTTGTATCTCTATTTTTAAACTTACTCTTATATTTATATCCTCTTTTTTCTTCTTAGGCATCATGCACACTGCTCTTAGGGGCATCTGGCATTTTTTTGTTTCTGCCTCGCATGTTATCCTATGTGTTCATGCACACATGGGCATTTAGAGGCAGAAAATACACCCATTGCATGCTTATCCAAGAGCATAGACGTTTTGGCAGAAAAAATTATTGACGTTCCTAAATGCGGGTAAATGCATGTTAATGCATCTAAACGCATGTTAACGCTAGGCACATTTTGCACTTGAGTGTTAATTTATTTTAATGGCAAGAATAAATTATTATTCTGGCCAAATAAATGAATTAATGCCCAGGTGCCTGACGCCTGTTCTGCCAAAACACCGCTGCCAGGAAGAAAGGCATCTAGGAGAGATAACAAAAATGTCCAGTGTTCATGAGGCCTTATTATTACCATTATTATTTCCATTATTTGAGTTTACATATACAGCTTTATATTTCCTTTAGCCTTGAAGAATAATATAACCATATACAGTGGGGATCAAAAGTTTGGGCACCCCAGCTAAAAATTTGTATTAATGTGCATAAGGAAGCCAAGGAAAGATGGAAAAATCTCCAAAAGGCATCAAATTACAGATTAGACATTCTTATTATATGTCAACAAAAGTTAGATTTTATTTCCATCATTTACACTTTCAAAATAACAGAAAACAAAAAAAAAATGGCGTCTGCAAAAGTTTGGGCACCCTGCAGAATTTATAGCATGCACTGCCCCCTTTGTAAATCTGAGACCTGCCAGTGTCATGGATTGTTCTCAATCATCGTCTGGAAAGACCAGGTGATGTCAATCTCAAAGGTTTTAAATGCCCAGACTCATCTGACCTTGCCCCAACAATCAGCACCATGGGTTCTTCTAAGCAGTTGTCTAGAAAACTGAAACTGAAAATAGTTGACGCTCACAAAGCTGGAGAAGGCTATAAGAAGATAGCAAAGCGTTTTCAGATGTCAATATCCTCTGTTCGGAATGTAATTAAGAAATGGCAGTCATCAGGAACAGTGGAAGTTAAAGCAAGATCTGGAAGACCAAGAAAAATATCAGACAGAACAGCTCGCAGGATTGTGAGAAAAACAATTCAAAACCCACGTTTGACTGCACGATCCCTCCAGAAAGATCTGGCAGACACTGGAGTTGTGGTACACTATTCCACTATAAAGAGATACTTGTACAAATATGGTCTTCATGGAAGAGTCATCAGAAGAAAACCTCACCACAAAAATCATCGTTTGAACTTTGCAAATGAACATATAGACAAGCCTGATGCATTTTGGAAACAAGTTCTGTGGACCGATGAGGTTAAAATTGAACTTTTTGGCCGGAATGAGCAAAGGTACGTTTGGAGAAGAAGGGGTACAGAATTTAATGAAAAGAACCTCTGTCCAACTGTTAAGCATGGGGTTGGATCAATCATGCTTTGGGGTTGTGTTGCAGCCAGTGGCACAGGGAACATCTCACGAGTAGAAGGAAAAATGGATTCAATAAAATTTCAGCAAATTTTGATGGCAACTTGATGCCATCTGTGAAAAAGCTGAAGTTAAAGAGAGGATGGCTTCTACAAATGGATAATGATCCTAAACACACCTCAAAATCCACGGTGGATTACATCAAGAGGCGTAAACTGAAGGTTTTGCCATGGCCTTCACAATCTCCTGACCTCAACATAAATGAAAATCTATGGATAGACCTTAAAAGAGCAGTGCGTGACAGACAGCCCAGAAATCTCAAAGAACTGGAAGACTTTTGTAAGGAAGAATGGGCAAAGATACCTCAAACAAGAATTGAAAGACTATTGGCTGGCTACAAAAAGCGTTTACAAGCTGTGATACTTGCCAAAGGGGTCAGTACAAGATATTAACTCTGCAGGGTGCCCAAACTTTTGCAGACGCCATTTTTTTGTTTTCTGTTATTTTGAAAGTGTAAATGATGGAAATAAAATCTAACTTTTGTTGACATATTATAAGAATGTCTAATCTGTAATTTGATGCCTTTTTGGAGATTTTTCCATCTTTCCTTGGCTTCTTTATGCACATTAATACAATTTTTAGCTGGGGTGCCCAAACTTTTGATCCCCACTGTACTCCTAGAAATGTGTTGGTCTGTGTTATCCTTGGACACCTTTGATGAAATAAATATACTTGGACTCCTATAATTTTAGTACGGTGCTCTTATTCTTTTTACATCTTTCTAAAATAAAAACCTGACAGAATTATTTTAACTCTTCCCCACTCTATCCAACATAAAAAAACATAGTTTGATTTCATGGCCAAAAAACAATAATACAAGATAATAGCGCTGACAAAGAAGGTTATTAAATTAGCTGCACCTATGGGAGACCTTGTATATGATAGTCACGAGATGTATTTCTATTTTATATTCTGCATTGACCAATAATCGCAAAAAAAAAAAGATTTATTTGGTTTCATCTGATTTACAACATTTTCCATTAAAAACCTATCGGGGAAAGAAAAGCACTTCATATCAACCTGAACTTTCTTTCGATTAAAAGCACCTAAATTACCTCAGTGAGTTGTAAGCACAGAAGTGGCTGATGATAAATGGCTTTTGCATACATGCACTTTTCTTGTTGCAACATTATTCTGCTAAAAAATAAATTACAAGAAAAGGTGAACTCTCATAGGAAGAAAAATGGGAGTTCAGAATGTTTCAATTTGTAATGAAGTTTTGTAAATGTTGTATGCATTGAATTCATGCACTGGTTAGAGGTCCCTAAAGAATAGTCGAAAATAGATTTTCTCAATAGACAGATATAAACTTGGAATGTTGATGCCTTGCTACATTGCAGTATGATTGCTTTTATTTGTTTATTATGAGTAATTGTAATTAGAGTTTTCAGGTCATTTATGACATAGATGATTCTTATCTGTGATTTTTGCAACTGCCTGAGAAAATGTCAAATATATATATAGCAATTTGAATTTTTTTTCTTGACACAAAGTGCAATTTGAAAAGTGTATCTAAATTCAAAACTTTATTTTTTTATATTTGAATAGAGTAGTAAGGGGTTAGAACACCTTTTTTTGTTGCTGTCTGTGTGCCCATAAGGAAGATTTACCATCCATATTGGACCTGATAATCATTGTCACTGGAATTGAAAGTGTTGTCACCAAAACAGGAATAGAGGGAAACAGTAACAGGACACATGGTTCAGTGACAACTGTCTAAAGCAGGGTTTCCTTCACTTTAAGAGATTCCCTCTCACTTCCTGTTGTTCTTACAGGATGGGAAGTGAAGGGAAATATTTTCATTAAGACAAAGGTGCAAAAATAAAAAACCCCACTGACAGGGGTTCTAACTGTTCCCTACTCTATCCAAAATTAAAAAAAAGTTTTGGCTTCAGATATACTTTTCTGTATACTTTTAGAAGGGGCATAGTTTTAATGTAAACTTCCTATTGGCTAGCTGAGATATGAGTGACAACTTGGGAGTTCCCCATGTCATTCAAAAGCATAAACAGCGAATCTCATAAGTATGCATTCTCTATGACCAGAGGTCAGGGAATGGGGACAACCTGTGGTCATGTTGAATAAACCATTGAATTGATAGAGGTCCAAGGGATGAGGTGTAAAGGCTATATATATATATATATATATATATATATATATATATTTTTTTTTTTTTTTTCACTGGCCATTTTATTAGGTACACCTTACTAGTACCAGGTTGGACCCCCATTTGCCTTCAGAACAGTGTTGGAAACATTCCTCAGAGATTTTTGGCCATATTGACAAGGGATCATCATGCAGTTGCTGCAGATTTGTCGGCTGCACATCCATGATGCGAATCTCCCGTTCCACCACATCCCAAAGGTGATCTATTGGATTGAGATCTGGTCACTGTGGAGGCCATTGGAGTACAGTGAGCTCACTGTCATGTTCAAGAAACCAGTTTGAGATGATTTGAGTTTTGTGACATGGTGCATTATCCTGCTGGAAGTAGCTATCAGAAGATGGGTACACTGTAGTCATAAAGGGATGGACACAGGGGCAGACTGACAACTCATGGGGCCCCGGGCAATAGGGGATCATGGGGCCCCTGTGTCCTTGCCCAAACTCAAAAAAGCCTATGAAAAAGGTACCAGGGGCATCTCATGGGGCCCCCTACTGACCCCGGGCCCTCGGGCAGTGCTCGAGTTTCCAAATGGTTAGTCCGCCCCTGGATGGACATGGTCAGCAACAATACTCAAAGTGTGCCAAGAAAATATCCCCCACCAGCCTGAACCATTGATAGGAGGCAGGATGAATCCATGTTTTCATGTTGTTTACACCAAATTCTGACCCTACTATCTAAATGTCTCAGCTGAAACTGAGACTCATCAGACCAGGCAATGTTTTTCTAGTCTTCTTTTATCCACTTTTGGTGAGCCTGTGTGAATTGTAGCCTCTGTTTCCTGTTCTTAGCTGACAGGAGTGGCACCTGGTGTGGTATTCTGCTGCTGTAGCCCATCTGCTTCAAAGTTAGACGTGTTGTGCGCTCAGAGATGGTATTCTGCATACCTTGGTTGTAACGAGTGATTATTTGAGTTACCGTTTCTATCATCTCGAACTTACCTTTCTATCATCCTGTCTGCCCATTCTACTCTGAACTATGACATCAGCAAGGCATTTTCGTTCACACAACTGCACTCACTGGATATTTTCTCTTTTTCTGACCATTCTCTGCAAACCCTAGAGATGGTTGTGCATGAAAATCCCAGTAGATCAGCAGTTTTTTAAATACTCAGACCAGCCTGTCTGGCACCAACAACTATGACAAGTTGAAAGTCACTTAAATAACCTTTCTTCCTCATTCTGATGCTTGGTTTGAACTTCAATAAGTCACCTTCACCAGATCTACATGCCTAAATACATTGAGTTGCTCCATGTGATTGGCTGATTAGCAATTTGTGTTACCAAGCAACTGAACAGTTGTACCTAATAAAGTGACCAGTGAGTGTATACAAATCTATATCTGTTACATACTCATGAAAATTATTTATTGTAGATAATTTGAAAAGATTTGTGACCACCATTTACTGGGATTTTCCACATTTAAATTTAACCTGTGGCCAGATGTTTAAAGGGTACTGATAAAGAAGCTGTATGGCATGAAATGTGTAGACCCCTGGCTCCACAATATTGTTCTGGCATATTATCATCTGCTTGTAAAAACATTTGCTGGCTGTGGTAATAATCTTGCTATACTATATTCACATGTTTTTAAGTCAGAAGTAAGTCCTATACTAAGGAAGCCCATAGGTGATTACGTTTTTCTTTCCTTCCACCCTTGGTGGAAAATTGTTCAATTCCCATTCACATTCAGTGTTGATGGGGGGAATCCATTATTTAAGAATGGAGCAATAGAATGCAATGGATGAAGTATAGAAGTGGAGGCAGTGGTAGCAAAAGTTGAAGGTGTAAGCTAGAGTGGAAGCAGAAACCACCCTGAAGGAAGAGAAGAGATATAAAGAAAGCAGCAATAGGGCTCTTCCCACACAATATGACATTGACATGGTATTAGAGAGGCTATTTGTCATGTAGCTGGTAGGAGACTGAATTGACGAGGTTGGCCTCTCTTGTATCCCCAGACCAGACCCCAATGAAGGTGGAACAGATGGTAAAAAGGGACAGGGGGGACACGAGTGCCAACAGGTGTTGACATTAGAACTTGCAACTGAAAATGTACACCCAGATGGTCAAGCAGGGCATCAGGTCAGGAACAGAAGTGATGCAGGGAAGACCAGCTGAGGTTAAAGGGGTACTCCGCAGGAATCGTGGCTTGTTGGAGCTCTCAGCAGATTTGAAGCAGGAACACACTGCGACAACTGGAGTTGAGATAAGGGACAGCCAGGGCAGGCATACAAGTATATTGTGGAGGCAAACTGAAGACAGAAACATAGTAAGATGGGCAGCCAGGGTCAGTAACAAACAGGCAACGTGGTAAAGAAACATCAGGCAGAGATGTGGTCAAGAGTGAGCCAAGGTCAGGAACAGATGAGCAGAAGCATAAACAGGATCCAAGGTCAGGTCAATAACAAGCCAGGTCAGCAGTGAGCACTAAAAGTGAGCAAGGGCATCACTTAAATAGCCCATCTGGTGCCAACAGGAACCGTGGACACACTCCCGCATGCACACACATGTGCACATGCTCAATTCTATGAGCAATACTATGTGCATGCGTCTTACAGTAGTTTCCTGACACTATTGTAGTCACTTATGCCTCTTCCACTTATCTATTTCTCATCTTCAGTAAAAGTATTTACTGTTATTTTCCTTAGTTATTACAATAGGAACACGGTTGCACATATTTCAGTTTTACTACCTATTCACTAGTTTGATTACCCCGGACCCCAGTCGATAAATTTGTATATATATTACATAACATACAACCAAAATAATATATATTATTTTACACTTGGACGAAGTAAGGCACAAGTAGGCTGTAAATCTATTTTGAAGCTATAGAGAGGATGATTATATGTATTACAGGGTGACAACCACAAGCTTTAAATGTACATGTGTGGAGTGGTAAACTTAGGAGAAGCTAAATAAAGCAATGGTATTGGATTGTGTCACTCACATTCCATAGGATGCACTTGGGAAAGAAATATGTTAGAAGACAGTTTGTTGAGAGCCGATGGTGGAATAGTAGCTCAAATGATTTGTGTCGCCTTCATAGTGATGACATGAAACCTAAAGAACTTCAATGCTATATATCTGAGCTATGCTACATATAAAGGTTAATATACTGCTGAAGACATACCCAGGATAGCCAGGGTACTTTTCTGATTAAGACACATAGGATATGTCACTGACCTGTTTAAACTGTAGCTGGTCTTCCCATTTAATTTAAAAAAATAGTTCCATTTATCTGCAGGTCATTGTGGTCACACAGTTCCATACACAGTCAGCCAACCCTGCAAAATTTTGCTGCATTAGTATTGATGTCTTTACACAAATCTAGTGCCATATTAATTCATACATTTAAAGGGTAGCACCACATATTAAACCCAAAAGCAAACATTTATAATATTGCAGCATACTGATTCTTAGATGGGATGGCTACATTAGTTTTTTCTTTTTTAAGGTGTTCTTCATTCTATTTTCACCTGGTGAGCTAACCAGTAAGTCTGTTGCAAGCTCTCTTCCAGGTGTATCAGTTTACAAGGATTATTATTATTATAGAGGGTTTTATATAGCACCAACAGTTTATGCAGCACTTTACAAAATGAAGGTAGACATAACAGTCACAATATAATTTGGTGCAAGAGGAAACAGAGGGCCCTGCTCATTAGAGCTTTAAATCTAGGCGGAATGGTTGAGTGATACAAAAGGAAATAATTGTGGGGGATGAGCTGATGGAGGAAATAAAAGGCAGTTTACTAGTTAGAAGCAGGATAGGCTTCTTTAAAGAGAAAGGTTTTCAGGGATCATCTAAAGGTGGATAGATTAGGATATAGCTGGACAGATTGGGGTAGGGAGTTCCATAGGATGAGAGAAGCTCGGGAGAAGATTAGGAGGTGAGCATGGGAGGAGGCGACATGGGAACTAGAAAGCAGAGGGGCTTGGGAGGATTGAAGAGAGCGGTTTGGTTGATATTTTGAGACCAGGTTGGTGATGTAGCTGGGGGCAAAGTTGTGGATGGTTTTGTAAGTTGTTATTAGTATTTTGAATTTTATTCATTGGGCGAGTGGAAGTCAGTGGAGGGATTGGCAGAGAGGGGGAGCAGACACTGAACAGTTGGTAAGGTGGATGAGCCTGGCAGCAGCATTCATGATGGACTGGGGGGGGGGATAGTCTATGTAAAGGTAAGGCAATGAGGAGGGAGTTGCAGTAGTCCAGGCAAGAGATAACCAAGGAGTGAATTAGGAGCTTTGTGGTATCATTGGTTAAAAAGGGGCATATTCTGGAGATGTTGTGGAGGTTAGGTGGCATGATTTGGACAGGGATTGGATGTGGGCCTGAAATGATTGTTCAGAATCCAGGGTTACCCCTAGTACCCTTGCATGGGGGGATAGGTTGTTAGTGATGCTATTGTTCCTGACTGAGAAATCAGGGGAAGGGGGAGGAAATATTATGAGCTCAGTTTTGGATAGATTGAGTTCTAGGTGGTGTGACATCCAGTCTGATATGTCTGTTAGTAAATCGGTGATACATAATACGTGAGGAAACTGATGGGATGAACTGGGCAGTAGAGAGATAGATTTGTGTGTCATCAGCATATAAATGCTATTGGAAACCATGGGAAGCTATCAGCTGACCCAAGGAAGAAGTGTAGATCATGAATAGGAGAGGTCCGAGGACAGAACCTTGGGGGACCCTGATGGTAAGAGGAGTAGGAGAGGAGGTAGTAGAGTTGTAAGTGACACTGAAGGTGCAGTGAGATAGGTGAGATTCGAACCAATGGAGAGAACAGTCATGGAGACCAAGTAAATAGAATTTTTTGAGGAGGAGGGGGTGGTCAACTGTATCAAAGGCAGAGGAGAGGTCCAAGAGTAAGAGTAAGAAATAACGACCATTAGTTTTAGCAGTTAGCAAGTTGTTTGAGAGTTTAAGGAGAGAAGTTTCTGTGGAGTGTTGTGGGCGAAATCCAGACTGAAGAAGATCGAGAAGATTATTCTCAATAAGGTGGCAGGTCAGCTGGTTGTAAACTAGACATTCAAGGAGTTTGGAGGCAAAAGGGAGTAAGGAGATGGGTCTTAGGTTGCTAAGATTGGTGTGGTCCAGTGAGGCCTTTTTAAGTATGGGGGTGACTATCGCATGTTTTAGAGAGTTGGGGAAGATGCCAGTAGAAAGGGAGAGATTGAAGATATGAGTTAAAGAGTGAAGGATAGAGCCAGAGGGTGACCATAGTATTTGCAAAGGAACAGGGTCCCAGGGACAGGTGATTAGGTGTGCTTTAGAAAAAGTTTACCAACTTCCTCTATAGTAGCTGGGTTAAACAAGGGAAGTATAGATTATGCAGGTTGACAAGGAGTGTAGGGTGAGGGAGATATCTGTACAGTGGAGATATTGTCACAAATTGTATCAATCTTATTTTTGAAGTGATTACCGATCTCCTGGGCAGTGAGTGAGATAGTGGGTGGAGGTAAAGAAGGACAAAGTAGAGAGGTAAAGATAGAAAGAGTTGACGGGGAAGGGTGTTAATAAGAGTGCTAAAATAGGTTTGTTAGGCATTGT